CCCTGGTGCCACCACAAAGCTGGGAGTCTGTGCCCATTCCCTCTTGCTGGCGTGTCCCTGGTGCCACCACAATGCTGGGAGTCTGTGCCCATCCCTCTTGCTGGCACGTCCCTGGTGCCACCACAATGCTGGGGGGCTCTGCCCGTTCCTGGTGCTGGTGCTGGTGCTTCCCCAGTGCTCACCAGTCTGGGTCATGGTGCCCGGGGGTGTCACGGTGTGACTGGGGGTGCCCGTGAGGCCTGGGGTGCTTTTGGAATAATGCCTGAGGGTGCCCAGGGTGCTGGGAGGACCTTGAGGGTGCCCAGGGCTGCCTGGGAGCACCGCGTGGTGCCCGGGGGGTTGCCACGGTGTCCGGGACCCGTGAGTCAGGGGTGCCTCAGGGCGCCCGGGTGCCCCGGGGGGTGCCCCGGGGTGCCCGGGGGTGACGCGGTGCCGGTGCCATCCGCAGGCTGGTGCGCGAGGTGACGGGGGTGAACGTGAACATGCGCGTGGGCATCCACAGCGGGCGGGTGCACTGCGGGGTCCTGGGGGGGGGGGCCCTGCCCCCCCCCCCCCCGGGGCCAAAGTGGGCCCAAAAAAAGGTTTTTTTTTTGACTCTGGTCCAACGACGTCACGCTCAGGCCACAGCACATGAAAGCAGGAGGCAAAGGCCGGGTGAGGCCGGGGCGGGGTAGGGCCTGACTGAAGGGAGGGGGACGGCGGCGGGTGTGGAGCGGGGTAAGGGCTACCGTCCTCCCCCCCTCTCCCCCGTCCCCAGGCGCATCCACATCACCTGGGCCACGCTGCAGTACCTGAACGGCGACTACGAGGTGGAGCCGGGGCACGGGGGCGAGCGCAACGCCTACCTCAAGGAGCACAACATCGAGACCTTCCTCATCGTGGGCTGCAGCCAGAAGCGCGTGAGTGGGGAGGGGACAGTCAGAAAGGGGGGTCCCAGGAGGGTGGGAGAGCCGGGGTGTCCCCCCCTGCTCCTCACGGCCATGCGTCCCCCCCTGCAGAAGGAGGAGAAGGCCATCCTGGCCAAGCTGCAGCGCGCTCGTGCCAACTCCACCGAGGGGCTGGTGCCACGCTGGGTGCCCGAGCGCTCCTTCTCCCGCACCAAGGACTCCAAGGCCTTCCGCAGATGGTGAGTGGCCCTCCGGGCAGGGGGTTTGGGCACGGGGAGGATCCCACCACGGCGGTATAGGCCTTGCTTGCTGCCCAATTCCGGGGCCTGCCGTGGCTATTCCCCAGCCCTGCCTGAGGATCCTGTGGCTTTTCCTCCTGCTTGCCTGCAGGCCTCAGGGGAGCCTGGGGTGGCCCCCCCGTCCTCATCAGCCCATGGGAACCCCCCCCAGTGTCTCACCCATCCTCAAACAGATCCTCAGGGATCCCCCCGTCCTCACCAGCCTTGGGGACTCTCAAAGATCCCCCGTCCTCCCTGGTGTCAGACATCCCCCCCCAGACCCCTCTCTCCTCCCTCTGCAGACCCTTGGGGACACCCCCACCATCCTGGGACTCTGTCCCCCACCCTGGGTGACCCTGGGGGATGTCTCATGTCCCT